AATATAGACAGATACTGAAGGGCCGAAACGTTGTAATAAATATGGCGACAAAGATGAGGACAATAGTCCGAATAATGTAAATAATGTACATAATACCTCATTTCAGAAATATAGACAGATGAAGGGCCGAAACTGAAGGGACCGAAACATAATACCTCATTTCAGAAATATAGACAGATACTGAAGGGCCGAAACGTAATAAATATGGCGACAAAGAAGGACAATAGTCCGAATAATGTAAATAATGTACAGGACAGATACTGAAGGGCCGAAACGTTGTAATAAATATGGCGACAAAGATGAGGACAATAGTCCGAATAATGTAAATAATGTACATAATACCTCATTTCAGAAATATAGACAGATACTGAAGGGCCGAAACGTTGTAATAAATATGGCGACAAAATGAGGACAATAGTCCGAATAATGTAAATAATGTACATAATACCTCACCTCAGAAATATAGACAGATATACTGAAGGGCCGAAACGTTGTGATAAATATGGCGACAAAGATGAGGACAATAGTCCGAATAATGTAAATAGTGTACATAATACCTCATCTCAGAAATATAGACAGATACTGAAGGGCCGAAACGTTGTAATAAATATGGCGACAAAGATGAGGACAATAGTCCGAATAATGTAAATAATTATTCATCTCAAATATAGACAATACTGAACCTCATTTCAGAAATATAGACAGATACTGAAGGGCCGAAACGTTGTAATAAATATGGCGACAAAGATGAGGACATTTCAGAAAATAGACAGATACTGAAGGGCCGAAACGTTGTAAATATGGCGACAAATAATGTCCGAAAATAAAATGTACATAATACCTCATTTCAGAAATATAGACAGATACTGAAGGGCCGAAACGTTGTAATAAATATGGCGACAAAGATGAGGACAATAGTCCGAATAATGTAAATAATGTACATAATACCTCATTTCAGAAATATAGACAGATACTGAAGGGCCGAAACGTTGTAATAAATATGGCGACAAAGATGAGGACAATAGTCCGAATAATGTAAAATAATGTACATAATAGACAGATACTGAAGGGCCGAAATCTCAGAAATATAGACAGATATATAGACAGAACTGGGGCCGAAACGTTGTAATAAATATGGCGACAAAGATGAGGTCAATAGTCCGAATAATGTAAATAATGTACATAATACCTCATTTCGGAAATATAGACCGATACTGAAGTTGGATGGCGACTATGAGGACAATAGTCCGAATAATGTTTTAAAGAAATAGACAGATATAGGGCGAAATTTAAAAGACAAAGTAGGAAAACGTAAATGAAATTCTGGTAACTTGATATATTTTGTGTAAATATGGCGGGAAGAGGACAATAGTCCGAATTTTTTCCTTACCTCATTTCAGAAAAAAATAGCTGAAGGGGAAAGTTTTACATAGTAAATTGTCTGATTAAACATTCTGACAATAAGACTGCTAGTTTCAGCAATAAGACATTTTGAAATATAATAAGCGAATTATGAATTTCAACACACGTCAGCAATAGAGAAAATATAACACTTCCTCCACATGGAATGTGAGAAATTCTAATAAATAACAAAGATCGAATAAAATATTCAAATTCCTCATTTCCGATTCCTGCGAAAATAAAATGGCTGCTATTAGTCCGAAAATGTAAATAAGATCTACCCATTCAAAATCTGTCTATATTTCAAAGATGAGATGAATATTGTTATTATTTACAGATACTGAAGGGCCGAAACTAATATGGCGACAAAGATGAGGACAATAGTTCGGACTGTTATGTCCTCATCTCCGTTGCCATGTGAAGGGCGACGATTCGGCGACATGGTACGTCTGAATAATGACTTCTTCAGAAAGACAAACTTACAAATTGGAATAAATAACAAAATGAGGACAATCAAGTACAACAATTTAAATATTTGGGAAAGTTGTTTTAATATTAGATAGGGTAAATAAGTACGACATTAATAAAATGACGACAAAGATGAGGACAATAGTCCGAATAATGTAAATAAGGGCGCGTTGGCATAAATAGACAACGAAAAGTAAATAAGTACATAATACTCATCTCAACCTGGGAAGTGTTTGAACAAAGTCCGGAAAGTGAGACACAGAAATGCGAAAGAAACGTTGTAATAAATTGGGACAAAGATGAGGACAATAGTCGAAAAGATGCCTTTCAGAAAAAGCTGAAGGGCGAAACGTATTAACAAACAAAGGAAAATTTCGTTAGCGACAAAGAAAAGACTCATTTCGGAAACTGCAATCTGGGAAGTTGTTTGAAAAAAGGCCGAATAATGGAAAATGAGACACAGAAAATAGACAGATACTGAAAGAAACGTTGTAATAAATATGGCGACAAAGATGAGGACAATAGTCCGTAAAAAGATGCCATTTCAGAAAAAGACAGATACTGAAGGGCCAACGTAATTAACAAACAGGAAAATTTCGTTACCTCATTTCAAACCGATACTGAAGGGAAAAAGTACTGCCAAAATCATAGCATTTAAAGAAGTGTTTGAACAAAGGCCGGAAAGCGAGACACAGAAACGTTTTTTTTTTTCCTTAAATGTAAAAAAATAGCGTAGGAGGACAATGGCGAATTGTCTGATTAAAAAGATGCCTGCTAGTTTTCAAAAGACATTTAAGCAACGTATTAACAAACAGGAAAATTTCGTTAGCGACAAAGAAAAAAGAGTAACTGCAATCTGGGAATATCTGAACTCGAAAATATTCAAGTGTTTGAACAAAGGCATATAAAAGCGAGACAGAAATGCGAAGGCGAAATATTGGCATTTTCACGACGAAAGATGCCTTTCAAAAGCTAAGCAAACGTATTAACAAACAGGAAAATTTCTAAATTTTAGCGACAAAGAAAAGAGTTGTCCTGCAATCTGGGAAGTGTTTGAACAAAGGCCGGAAATATTAGAGAACACAGAAATGCGAAGGCGCGTTGGCATAAAGACAACGAAAGATGCCTTTTGAACAAAGGCCGGAAAAGACACAGAAAGCAACGTATTGGCATAACAAACTAAGCAACGGGAAAATTTCGTTAGCGACAAGAAAAGAGTACTGCAATCTGGGAAGTGTTTGAACAAAGGCCGGAAAGTGAGACACAGAAATGCGAAAGCGTATTGGCATAGCGAAAGATGCCTTTCAAAAGCTAAGCAACGTATTAACAAACAGGAAAATTTCGTTAGCGACAAAGAAAAGAGTACTGCAATCTGGGAAGTGTTTGAACAAAGGCCGGAAAGCGAGACACAGAAATGCGAAGGCGTATTGGCATAGCGAAAGATGCCTTTCAAAAGCTAAGCAACGTATTAACAAACAGGAAAATTTCGTTAGCGACAAAGAAAAGAGTACTGCAATCTGGGAAGTGTTTGAACAAAGGCCGGAAAGCGAGACACAGAAATGCGAAGGCGTATTGGCATAGCGAAAGATGCCTTTCAAAAGCTAAGCAACGTATTAACAAACAGGAAAATTTCGTTAGCGACAAAGAAAAGAGTACTGCAATCTGGGAAGTGTTTGAACAAAGGCCGGAAAGCGAGACACAGAAATGCGAAGGCGTATTGGCATAGCGAAAGATGCCTTTCAAAAGCTAAGCAACGTATTAACAAACAGGAAAATTTCGTTAGCGACAAAGAAAAGAGTAATGAACTGCTACATAATATCAGTTCTCTTATATGGCTTTCTTTAAATTTAATTATTTTTTTAAAATTTAAATGCCCAAACTAGTTTTTACCATTAATCGAATGCGGCTAAGATGACCCAGATTCATCAGATGATAGCTATAGACACGGACATCTCACTTATTTAATGTCAATTTTAATTAACACACGCAAAGACACAGACTCGCATGTACTTACACAAGCGTACAAATATATATATATACACAAACAAGTGCACACATGCACAAATGCATGCAGGGTCTCTCTACTTGGGACTTGTAGTGGGTGTAAACAATGGCGGAAAAGGAAAAAAAAAGGTGAAACATGGGTTTCAGCAGTTGCTTCGCTGTTGTCTGGTCTTTTGTCTGCAACTCTTCCTCCAATTGAAACTGCATGGGTCGCACGAACGTTCCGTTTGTATTAACTTTGATCCAAAATTGGTAATTCATCCTGGTTTCTCCAGGTTTCTGTAACGGTTACAACAAAGGTACTTTGTTGTCTGGTTAATAATATTAATTATCTCTCCAAATTTGGGAGATCCCGTCTTCCTACGGGTAGTGGTTGCGGGTATTGGCCCGCTCGTATAACTAATCATATCTATACCTCGCACTATTATTCCAAATGAACAGGGATAATGTCCCTCTCTGTCTTGGTATCTGATCTTAGCCCCCAACCTCAGATGTGTCTTTGACGACTCCGGCTTTCAAAATGCGTGGGTAGAAAGAAGGTCTTAACCTTTTGTCATTAATTGTAATTATCTGTTTAATTTTCAATAATTGTACCAATGATAGCCACACGGCCGTACCCTATCTGAATTCTTTCAATGCAGGATAAATTCCTAAGGTCAGCGAAACCATTTCTGCTCGTTGAACGACAGGCATAAGCCAGTCTTTGATTCCTCTATTGTTCTCAAGATTATCAAATATTATACTTAATTGACCTCTTCTTTCTTCCTGGTAATTATGAGACATTGTCTTGGCACTTACACTTTTAGACAAGCGGACATAAATCTATATGTCATCTCATGCGTTTAAACCTCTCTGTCTCTTCCAAATCATATTCCAAATTAACCCTTTCCTTTCCTTCTTACCAGTGTCACATAAGGTCACAGTTGTACTTGTTTGTCTTTGGTGTCTTCCGTTTCTAATTTACATGTTGGCTGAATCAGATCAGACCAATAATGGAAGACTGCTGCCATTGCAATTCTCATTAGGCAGAGTTCAAAAGCGCTGACTAAAAACCCTTATCCCACACACGAAACGTCATGCATCTTTCCCTATTATATCGCAATTAATATGGCGGATGTTCGGAGAGCTTACGGCCATATCGCGTTGCAACAACGATTCTCGTATAATCACCGAAGTTAAGCAACGTCGAGCCTGGTCAGTACGTAGATGGGCGACCGTTTGGGAATACTCATCATTGGATGCGCAAGTGGTGTAATGCATAACAGCTAAGAATTGGAAATCGGAGAGTTGAGTTCATTATATACGCAAATACCCTCTTTTTTCCCCCTCAGCTATGGATTAATTAGTAGGATTTTTACCAGTAAAATATTATCTCGTTTAGAACCCAAAATATTTTCTGACTTTAAATAACCTGCAAAAGGTTGATAAGCCATAAAAAAGAACAAATTCATCAATCAATGAGGATGTTCGGACCAGTTACATTCCTTAGATCCAAATGCACGGATCTTCACAGCTAGGGCGCTCCATGTCTTGTTCACGGTGGCACACCATCCCCATTCCCTTCGGGGTTCCTTTGACAGAAAGTAAGTTCCACGGAGCTGTTACTCCCGAGAGAATGCTTCCCTGAGTACGACAATCTTGCTCTCTTTATGTCCGGGATTAACCGATATTTTTTACCACTCATCCGCGTAGCACTCTCTGATTAGTCCTTTTACAATCTCTACCCCCTAAATTAATTGGCCCTTGGACCTTGCTATCAGTACCCCCTCCCCTCCACATCTCCTCTCCCCCCTCTACTCCCCTCTCCCTCTCCTCCTATCCGCCCCTCCCAAATATATTCTGTAGCGAGTGTTTCTGAAACTCGCGCCCGTACGACATCTTATAACGAAGTAACGCTTTAACTATACGCGCTATTTATGGAATGTGGGAGAAAAGTGTCTGTGTAAGTGTGTGTGTGTGTGGGGGGGGGTATGTGTGTAAATGTCTGTGCTCGTGCAAGTGTGTGTGTGTGTGTGTGTGCAATTGTATGTAAGGGCATGTCTTAGTGTGTATGTGCGTGTGTGCAATTGTATGTAAGTGCATGTCTTAGTGTGCGTGTGCGTGCGTGTGTGTGTGTTTGTAAGTGTGCGAGAGTGTTGTGCCTGTCTGTCTGTTTGGCTGCACGTCGGTCGGTTCGCTCGCTCGCTTATCGGTAATCTGATGTCGCTTAGCGAGCGAAGTTCTTGGCGTGCTCTTTGAATTTGTAATCTGATGTCGCTAATTCTTGTCAAGGAGGCGCGACAGCTTCTAGTCAGAAAGCACGTCCTTACCTCCACACACACACACACAAACACAAATGTGCGTGTGGGTGCGCGCACACACACATGTACACACACACATGTACACACACCCTCCTGAAAATTAGTATACACTCGTGCGTACAGTTGCCCTCGTTCATATACACCAATACGCGCGTATATCTATCTATCTATCTATCTATCTATCTATCGAAGACACCATATATATATATATATGAATTTTTCTTTTGTCTGTAACAACTAAGGGGCAGTGTGAAAAATTTTGACATGAGACGAACAAAAGTCCATTGATGTCCAGTGTCCAGACGTATAAATGCGACTGCGTTGACAAATTACAAAGAGACCCCCCCCACACACTCAACAACGGCGACACAGTTCACAGTAAGAGTCAGTCAGTTATGCGCTAAGGCGATCATGTATCTTTCGATACATGACTGACGAGGCAGATTTTTTTCCAGCAGTAGGTTGCCATTTCTTTCTGCGGTAGACCAGTTGCCACCCTAAGGCTCTATAACAGTCAGTTATGTGCCATACGTGATACATATTTAGGCGATCATGTATCTTTCGATACATGACTGACGAGGCAGATTTTTTCCAGCAGTAGGTTGCCATTTCTTTCTGCGGTAGACCAGTTGCCACCTAAGGCTCTATAACAGTCAGTTATGTGCCATACGTGATACACATTTAGGCGATCATGTATCTTTCGATACATGACTGACGAGGCAGATTTTTTTTCCAGCAGTAGGTTGCCATTTCTTTCTGCGGTAGACCAGTTGCCACCTAAGGCTCTATAACAGTCAGTTATGTGCCATACGTGATACACATTTAGGCGATCATGTATCTTTCGATACATGACTGACGAGGCAGATTTTTTTCCAGCAGTAGGTTGCCATTTCTTTCTGCGGTAGACCAGTTGCCACCTAAGGCTCTATAACAGTCAGTTATGTGCCATACGTGATACACATTTAGGCGATCATGTATCTTTCGATACATGACTGACGAGGCAGATTTTTTTCCAGCAGTAGGTTGCCATTTCTTTCTGCGGTAGACCAGTTGCCACCTAAGGCTCTATAACAGTCAGTTATGTGCCATACGTGATACACATTTAGGCGATCATGTATCTTTCGATACATGACTGACGAGGCAGATTTTTTCCAGCAGTAGGTTGCCATTTCTTTCTGCGGTAGACCAGTTGCCACCTAAGGCTCTATAACAGTCAGTTATGTGCCATACGTGATACACATTTAGGCGATCATGTATCTTTCGATACATGACTGACGAGGCAGATTTTTTCCAGCAGTAGGTTGCCATTTCTTTCTGCGGTAGACCAGTTGCCACCTAAGGCTCTATAACAGTCAGTTATGTGCCATACGTGATACACATTTAGGCGATCATGTATCTTTCGATACATGACTGACGAGGCAGATTTTTTTCCAGCAGTAGGTTGCCATTTCTTTCTGCGGTAGACCAGTTGCCACCTAAGGCTCTATAACAGTCAGTTATGTGCCATACGTGATACACATTTAGGCGATCATGTATCTTTCGATACATGACTGACGAGGCAGATTTTTTCCAGCAGTAGGTTGCCATTTCTTTCTGCGGTAGACCAGTTGCCACCTAAGGCTCTATAACAGTCAGTTATGTGCCATACGTGATACACATTTAGGGCGATCATGTATCTTTCGATACATGACTGACGAGGCAGATTTCTTCCGCAGTAGGTTGCCATTTCTTTCTGCGGTAGACCAATTGCTATCCAAGGCTATACAACTCAGACTGCCCTGCTATTTATCCATAGTCAGTCAGTTATGTGCCATACGTGATACACGTTTAGGCGATCATGTATCTTTCGATACATGACTGACGAGACAGATTTCTTCCCGCAGTAGGTTGCCATTTCTTTCTGCGGTAAACCAATTGCAATCCAAGTCTATAGAACCCGGTCTGTCCTGCTATTTACCCATAGTCAGTCAGTGCCATGCGTGATACACGTTTAGGCGATCATGTATCTTTCGATACATGACTGACGAGGCAGAATTTTTGCTGCCATTTCTTTCTGCGGTAGACCAGTTACCATCCAAGGCTAAAAACACGGTCTGTCCTACTGTTTACCTATAGCTAGGGGAGCGGTACTAAACTCTATTTTTTTTTTCTGAGATTACAGATTGAATCTACGGACTCTCAAGGAATAATCAAACATTCCAAAAGTTGCAAAAAGAATTTTTGTGCTTTGGGAATTTTTGCAGTAGACATAATTTTATGTGTAAATGTGTAACATTTATTAGGATAAAATAAGGATATCTTTTCCTACGTTTTTATAAATTGTACACCGTTCATTTATTAACGGTAAAACAAACTATTTTAAGGACACATGGCACAGTGGATAAAGGCGTTGGTTAGATCCAGTGACAGGACCCAAAGTGTGTGAGTTCAATACCCGGTTAAGGCAGTGGAGAACTTTCACAGGGAATTTAACAGGAGATAACTGATAACTGACATCCATTAAAACTTGGAACTAGAACAGTATACCCCAGTGAGTGAAATAAAGGGTTCAGTTCGACATTCCAACCACCTGAAGAAGGCCTGAGTGTACAACGGCCGAAACGTTGTAATAAATATGGCGACAAAGATGAGGACAATAGTCCGAATAATGTAAATAATCTACATAATACCTCATCTCAGGAATATAGACAGATACTGAAAGGCCGAAACGTTGTAATAAATATGGCGACAAAGATGAGGACAATAGTCCGAATAATGTAAATAATCTACATAATACCTCATCTCAGAAATATAGACAGATACTGAAAGGCCGAAACGTTGTAATAAATATGGCGACAAAGATGAGGACAATAGTCCGAATAATGTAAATAATCTACATAATACCTCATCTCAGAAATATAGACAGATACTGAAAGGCCGAAACGTTGTAATAAATATGGCGACAAAGATGAGGACAATAGTCCGAATAATGTAAATAATCTACATAAACCTCATCTCAGAATATAGACAGATACGAATAACGTTGTAAATGGCGACAAAATCAATAGTCCGAATAAATAATCTCATCTCATCTCAGAAATATAGACAGAAACTATTTTAAATCACAAAATTGTATATAGATTAATGAAAAATTACTTACAATATACTACAATGTATATGTTACTCATAATACATTCTTTCTCGCCAATTTTGTCAGCACGGGTGTATATATATATATATATATATATATATATATATATATATATATATATATATATATATATATATGTTGAAACTTGACTAATGCATGGAATAATAATGCAACACAAAATGTACTTAGAACAAAATGTATTGAAACAAGAAAGTGTACACAATATTTACATATAGTCTTTTGTATATTCTTGGGAAGACCGTTCCTGGAGAATGTGTTGACTTAGTCGCAGTCGGTCAGAGTCTCTGGTTGAATCTCTTGATTCCTCCCTCTCTTCCCGGGACCAACCATATTTATATGGTCGGTACTCCACTATGCAAATTAGGTGGATCCTACCACAACAATATATATATATATATATATATATATATATATATATATATATATATATATATATATATGTGTGTGTGTGTATGCAGATATGTAGAAAAATAGGAAAGAACACGTTAGGTAAATAATGCGGAGTTCTTTAGTATTTTTGATTTTATTTCTAAAAGACAGTGTTCCATACAGAAGTAGAGCATCAAACAGGGCTTGATATTTTAACTGAATTTAATTTTAATAATTATATTGAGGTTTTCGGCTCTCATTTTTGAAACATGAGAACTCTTATGTAGCGAAGGAATCATATTTTTAAAAAAAATAATTTATATATATATATATATATATATATATATATATATATATATATATATATATATATATATATATAGTTTATGAAAAAACTAGGTAATCCGTAT